ACAGCACTGTTAAACGTTGTGGTTAGGTTAGAGGCGCGCTATGATAATGTTTCATTTACGTTGATGTGTGAGGTTGTCTCAACAATGTAACGTACATCATCATTCACCACTTACATTCTTCTACTTACTTTCCACATTACATAATGCTGCGAGAGAAGTAGCAAAGTTCATCTGACGTTATTGCAGTTTTTTCAAAATGTCTCCCACCGAGGTAGAATAACCCAATAAAAAGGAAATGCATTCAAGAGAGCAATTGAATGAATGATGGTGAATGTTTTCTATATGTGTATGTATTATATATGATTGCTTTTATTGGCAAAAACATGTATACAGTACAGCAATATTTTAGCACTTTATCATTGATCTCCAGCTCCTCAGAAGCTGGACAGGAGCCTGGAACTCCAGTCAGTAAGGAAGCCTGTTGCATGTTTGCCCCAGGATCCAAGGGGTCTCTGAACTTACTGGGACAAGATAGCACTGATGGCCCAAGTCCCCATATTTGTTAAGTTTAGAATCTTTCCTGTGATCAGCATCCCCCTTCCCTGTTGCCCAACACTAACACGGATACAAGTGTCAACCAAAGAAGATACGCACCTGTCTGCCACTCTTCCAGAGGACAGATTGTGATCCCATCAAGGCACTAGGAAGGATTACTGGGATTGCCGGATGCTAGGAAGCCGTGTTCTCTTATCAACCAGACACGCAGCCGTAGCAAGGCTCCTCTTAAGAACATAAGAATGAACACTACAGTAGGAAAATTGACCCATAATAGGCAGGTTCAACTCGTACTCGCCCACACCTACTTGTGTTCTCGTCCAACTTACATTTCAAGTTATCCAAAGTTCAGAGTCAGTGACGCTACCTGGGAGTTGGTTCCGCTCATCTACAACTGTTGCCAAACTAGTCCTTCCTTGTATCTTTTCCATTTTTTTTTTATCCAATTTGAATCCATTATTGCGGGTCTGGTCTTGGCTAGATACTTTCAACACTCTTAATATCTCCGTTATTTATTCTTGTTTTTCATCTATACAGCTTCAGTCATATCTTCATTAACTTTTCGTCTTGCGGAGAGTGTAAATTCCTATCTTCGTAGGAAGGGTTTCTCATAAGCGAGATTTATGATATTGACGACGTGCTGTTGGAGTGTGAGCAGGGTAACGTTTATGAAGGGATTCAAGGAAACCGATTAGCCGGACTGGAGTCCTGGAGGTGGGAAGTACAGTGCCTGCACTTTGAAGGAGGGGTATAGATATGTTGCAGTTTTTGTTAACTGTAGTGTCAACACGCCTCTAGCAAGACAGTGATAGTGAGTTTTCCGGTATTTAAAAATTCAGTGCAGTATATATTTATATGTGTTAAAATGTTCAAAATGTTCTTAAAATGTAAGGATTATTTTGTAGGAAGTGTGTTTACAAAGTGAAGAATAGTGTTCAACATTTTATTTTATTGTTAGTAATATTAGACGATAATAAGGTCTTGCAGACGTGTCTTCATGTAACATTGTCAAAATACCATTTGGAGCAGCCTCGTACATCATGGCTGTGACGTGTTTGCTGGCTGAGTGGGTACCTAGAATTATTAACAAATAACCCACGCTGTGTTGAGGAAATATTAGACGGTGTACAAATAACCCGCACATGGGAGAGAGAAGCTTGCGACGACGTTTCGGTCTGAAACAGACTGCTTACAAGTGACTTGTAAGTGGTCTAAGTCGGACCGAAACGTCGTCGTAAGCATCTCTTATGTGTAGGTTGTCTGTGTAGTGTTCCCAGTCACGGTATTGCCTTTTTGCTCTTTATTAGACTGTTTTGGTCTATCCTGGTCCGAAACGTCATCTCTAGTAAACTTTCCACTGTGAGTTATTTACAAAAAAAAAAAAAAAAAAAAAAAAAAACGCTAAGCAGTGTAGCTTTCTTTTCATTCATCTGGTCATTAGGTCTTCTTCCACTAGATGCTACTTAACAACAAGTCGCCTTAATACATACTTGGGTACCCGTTTCCTTGTAAGTAAACGGGGACAGTAGGGTTAAGGAAAGTTATACCTCTCGCCTAGCGTTTGTAACGGGATCCTTTTTATTTTATACACACATTTTACAGGCTGAGACCTGTTATCCTACTTCGGCTCATTTCGAAGCCCAGCCTTATCTAAGGTATACTGCTACCCGTCAGGATCCGACCCACAATAGTAGGCTAACACCCAGGTACCTACTTATTACTAGGTGAACAAGGGCAATAGGTGTAAGGAAACATTCCCAGCGTTTTCAACCGACCGGGGATCGAACCACGAACACTCAATTGTGATCCGAAACTCTACCCCAAGCTGTGACGTGTATTGATTTGTTCGTTTCCTTTTGAAGAGAATATAACTTGACCTGACTCATTTTTCCATATATGGATACCTGCTTCCCTTTCATTAGTATAAAAAATACGAATATTTCGATGTTTAGATTGTGGTGTGCGAATTGTGAAGGTTGTGTAGTATGAAGGAACGCTAGAAATGTTCTGCATAGTTAGGGGCTTTCCATTAAAATTTTTAACACGTGCCACTTATTATTTGCAACCAATGTAAGCATTTTGGAACAGAAATTGCTATTTAATTATGGGACACCAGCCAGCAAGGGGCAGTGAGGCTGTCTCTAAACATTGTAGGTCTGAATTTATAGCCTCGTGGCCTGAGTGTAAAGGATACCAACACTAGCCAGTCCAACTCTCCGTGGAACGTAATAAATGTTAGCCTAGGTATAAACACGTTAAGATAACATCTCGGTGCTAAATTAGGAAACATTGCGTACAAGATTACAACCAAGTGTCTTGAAGACAACCTGCAGCAGGCTAGTTTAACACAGCTCATCCCAGTCAACTAAGTGTTGGTATTATGAAGTTACTCCAGATTAATTATCAAATTATCAACCTCACAATATTAATTAATGCGTATACCATGTGTAGCATTTCCCTTAAGTACGTTTAAAGGAGGTACACACACACAGATTTGTAGGTATACATTGTGGGTACTCCACAATTTTACTGCCATACACTTCAGGCGAATCCAATTTTGAGTAAAATAAAAATCTGCTCTGCACATTTCAGCCCACAAGTTGATTTACTTAACGACCCACCAACTTATTATGTGACTGATTTATTGACTGGTAAACTCGATAACTGACCTACAAGTTGACTGACAGAGACAACCATTGACTGACTTGCCCACACGGATAGTACTGTCTTGACTGAAAAGTTGAGAAAATCATATAATGGTGAAAATCAAAATCAAATGGCTGTTATTAAAGTTACTGGAGAACAAGTGAAGCAGGAAGTAGTGCAAAAAAATGAAAAGTTCTTTTATATCCTAAGGGAGGAGAGGAAATGAGGGGGATGGTGAGGGCAGTAGATAGGAGGAGAGGAAGTGCTATGTTACTGGGGGAAAGAGAGAGGAGAGGAAGAGATGCAAGTGGAAAGAAACGTGACAATTTTAAGAAATGCGAGATAGGCACGAGGCAAGAGTGAAATACTGGCAGCGAGAAAGAAATGGAAGCCTAGCTCCTAGTAATATGTAAATTTTAGGTTACCGTTAACATGTGTGCACGTTACATCTGGTTAGCTAAATTTCACTTAATTCGCGAATGTGCTAACCCAATAGGTCAAACCCCTGAAATTTTGACGAATTTGAAAATATCCTTGCATTAAAACCCAAGAATATATTGGATTCGTCCATGGATTGCCATGAAGACAGTAGTCACCCAAGCAGTGTTATATTCATGGGAAAGCACTAAACCCTCAGTGCCTCGTACAAGGCTTGCCAATGAAGCACAGTGCACTCCCAGGGAATATGACCCAATTTTAGGGAAGTTAGTGTAATATCTTTATTATGCACCTCATACCCATCTTGTGGGTGGTAGTCAAAAGGTTAGATGCACATAATTGGTCCAGGGACTGGGCCACAAAGTTTTGATAGCTAATAAAGTTACAACGGCAATGAGCTCCAGGTAATCTGGGCACAATTATGACCAGTTACAAAGGTAATGAATCATTTACACGTCTATACATGGTTACAGTGTAATAAGAGAGAACCGAAAAGTTTAAGCCTGGACGGTACATAAAAGCCCATGGAAAAAATAGCGAGATTAAATTAGATATATAGATTTTATGTGCAACTGTTAACCCTTTTGATAGCGAGAACTTAGAAATCCACAATGAGGCTATCTGCTGGGAATTATCTACTTCTCTCAACATTACGGCCATAGAAGAGGACTAGACAAGCTAAATATTGAATGACTTGTCAAAAAATTGGAAGATGGACGACGCCAGCGAGTGAGTAGACATAAATCACAAAAACGTGAGATCACACACTGGTTTATCCTCCCTCTTAACGAGGGCAAAAGCTGTCGTGTTTGGAGAGGTGTGGACCTCCCTTCCAGCCTTCCCGTGTGTGCCCCCTCCATGCCAGCCACATGGAGGCCACCTCCACCATATAGGGAACAAGAGCGTGATCTTTACCCAGGGAACCATCTTTACCCCCACACAACCTGTATTTATATTTTCGGATTTTATGATGCAGATGATGAGGCAGATAACATGGGGGGCCTAAGATAAGATAAGATAAGATTTCGTTCGGATTTTTAACCCCGGAGGGTTAGCCACCCAGGATAACCCAAGAAAGTCAGTGCGTCATCGAGGACTGTCTAACTTATTTCCATTGGGGTCCTTAATCTTGTCCCCCAGGATGCGACCCACACCAGTCGACTAACACCCAGGTACCTATTTGCTGCTAGGTGAACAGGACAACAGGTGTAAGGAAACGTGTCGAAATGTTTCCACCCGCCGGGAATCGAACCCGGGCCCTCCGTGTGTGAAGCGGGAGCTTTAGCCACCAGACCAAATGCAAGCAAGTTAATTCAATTATTGGCTAATTTTCTCAGACGTATTGACCACTGATCAGAAAACGCGGTAGTTTAAGAATTTATTATTACTGTACTATTATATTAACATTGTATTTCCTGCAGGGGTGTGTGGGGGAGAGCTGCCTCGTGTGTGGTGGCAGCCAGGCACTGCTGTGGAGGAAGGTGATACTGTCCAGCTTCAGTGCCAGGTACGTATACCTGGAGAGGGTTTCGAGGGTCACGTGTGGTGAAAATGGTTTTGAAAACCAACATTTGGGAATCTTTATTGAGGAGACGTTTCGGTAGCCAGGGGCTACTTCAGTCCAGTACATTATTATTATTATTATTATTATTATAATCAGGGGAAGCGCTAAACCCGGAGGATTATACAGCGCCTGGGGGGGGGATGTGGAAGGCATTCAGGCTTAATTCGGGGAACTGGAGCACAGATCCAATTCCCTAAATCAAGAGTCCCTCACCAACATCAAGGAACCTTCCTTGAGGGGTCAGTCCAGTACATAGAAAAACAGATGAGGATGAGGAGTTCGAGGTAATCAGTCCCTCAGCCTGGAGTCTGGACTGAGAAAGCCATTGGCTGGCAAAACTTCTCGTCAATAAAATTCCCAAATGTTGCGCAAGTATCTTATTCTTCAACTTGCCAAGTACTTTAAGGGGATGTACCCTTGTAGCATTCCCACTGTGTAATTGTCATGTCGATCAGAGAAGCGGAACATAACGAGTGTTCCCATAACTAACTATTACATAGAATAGTGTAGCAGTACACTGCTGGTGTTGGCACAGTTACTATCATACATGTGCAGTATTGTAGCAGCACATTGCTAGTGCTCCCAGCACGTAACTATTATACAAAATAGTGTACTAGCACACTGTGGGAGTTTCCAGAATGTAACTATCATGTACAATAAGTGTAGTAGCATATTGTGGGACTTGCCATAATGTAACCACATATGGTGCTATGTATGATAATGTAATTATTTATATGTACCTCTTCATGAATAAATTTACCTAACTCCTAGAATACTGTAGCATAGCCACTGCACTGTGGGTGTTCCCATTATTAAACTATCATATAAAATAGACACACTGTGGATGTTTATACAGTATAACTATCATATTGAATAGTGTAGCAACACACTGTAGATGTATCCACTTCTCATTATGAAACAATGTGAACTCTGCCTCTACGACAGGGTAATCTTGAGAAGGCCAGTGTCAACTTAACTTTCCAACATCTCATTTGATCCTAAGTGCTAAATCCATAAAGGGCATAACAGTAATTGGGTAAATGGGAGTTGCAACAATTCCTTGGATCAAAAGACATTTATTAGCATTAACTCACCTCCCATAACAGGAGTAAAATCTACAGATGATTTTACAAACAGTAGTATAATTTTCAGAGTTTTTAGAGCAAATAATTTTTTGAGCACACAGAATACATTATGCAGATTTAACTAAGATAATGATAATGTTTTATTTCTTTGAGCCATACAAATAATGTAGGTATACATGTATTGGTACAATATGCACTGCACTTGGGCATATCTTATTGTTGTAGATTTTGCTGTGACCCATACGAGTTTAGTGCTTAAATTGATTATATTATTATTTGTAAATCATTAATATTTAAGAATATTAAAAACTTGTTTGTATTGATTTTTTTTTTTTTGCATGTATGATAAAATATAATATAATGGATAAAAATAATCAAATTTCATGGACTTTTAAATTTTAATCTTTATAAATTTGAAAACATGCAAGTGGAATATAGACATTTATTAATGAGATAATGTCAATTAATTAATCAAGGGCTATTATATAAAAATCCTACTTTGCATCAAACTGATGTTAATTTCATAATCCAGGTTAAAGCTTAATGATGTTACTAGAAAAATACGCACACCTCTGCAAGAATACCTGTGGCAGGAAGACACTTTGTGCTCAGCAAACTTTTATGAACGACTGTTCTGCTTTGTGTAGAGCTTTATAAAGTCATGACTTGATATAAACTACACAGTGAAATATCATCCATTCATTCATGTTTGCTGAGCACCAAGAGTTCTTTTACCACAATTGTTGGCAATACCTGCCATCCAATACTATATTAAAAAGTCTGAATCTGCTCACCATTAAGAACATCCATACTTATTCATGTGCCCACTACATACACAGAACAATACATGCAAATATAAACCCTCCACTCAAACTTCTCCTCACCAACCTAAACAGGACACGACCACAACACAAGACACAGATCTCTTTTTGATATACCTCGTGTCCATATCACACTATGTAAAAACTCTATGCACATAAAGGGCCCCAAAATATGGAATTCATTGAAGAAACCCAGTCTGAAAATCAATTTAAGACTCTTCTCAAAAGCCACTTAATCACCCTAGACTAAATGCTAAATACTCAGTACACACTTACTCACCTATGTACTCCCACATCATAACTGAAACAATCACTTTGAACCTTTTATCCATTGTTGACAGGAATATAATTGAATCATTGTTTTCATAAAAAGCATTTTTGAATATAAATATATCTTTGTATTATACAAATTTTGATTCACTTATAATTAATATTCTACTGTACAACTATGAAATAATTACTTTCCTATTGTACAACTATGATATACTCCTTAGTCTTAAGTAGGCTGTAAGCCAATAATGTTAAGTTGGCCCATAATGCCTAGGCATAATAGAGGCTCTCTTTGCATTGCAACCCACTATTGTAAATACAAAATCTCAATGTACTGTTTGCAAAGACATTAAATAAATAAATATGTCAGTAAACTGTATCCTTTATTGCAGGTGGGGTCAGAAGCAGCAGGACCTGCCATCTGGCTCAAGCTGGACCCCAGAGACCCCCACAGCCATGTCTTGCTGTCCCATGGTGATCTCATCATCACTGAGGACCCTAGGTTCTCTGTCCTCCATATCCCAGAGAGGAATGTCTACACTGTCAAGGTGAGGATGAGATTCGTTAAGGTCTTACTGCAAACGGGTGAGGTTTGAACTTATGGTGAGTGAGTTGTTAAACTCCACCACTGTAGCCAACTGGCCCAGTGGTTTACGCATAGGCATGGAGTTCTGAAACTCGCTTGTCATAGGTCAAACGCCACCCATTCCGTGGTGTTTGACCTATGGTGAGTGAGTTTGCAGTTGTGTTACTACGATTTCATGAGTTAACTACACTTGAAGAGGAACACACATCTTCATTAAGTGTAAATACATGGCTTAAGCTGGTTTATTTTCCAGTGGTTGAATTATTTCAGCCAGTTTTACTTTCCAGCCCATGGTTGAATGATTTCTATCAGTGGCTTTTTATTTTTGCTGGCCAGTGGTTGAATTATTTTAACCATTAGTGTTTTTTCAGGTCTGGTTGAATTGTTTAAACTATTGGGCTTTTGTTTTTTTTAAGCCAATGGTTAAATTTTTATTTTGTAATTAAATATGAAAGACCTGTTAAAATCTATAAATTTAAGACTTTTTCTTCAAAACTAATACTTTATAACTATGTATAATCAGATTTGATGCAAGGAGGTGTAGGGTATCCTCATTTCCTAGGATCAAAAACCTTCCACCAGAATGAAGGCATCCTTAATAATAGACACCCAGACTAACACCTCTCTCTCTCACTCCCAGATACGTGAAGTATCAGCAGCAGACGCAGGCAGCTACCAGTGTCAGGTACCTGTCAGCTCTGATGAGGAAGAGTTAAGAGTAGAGGCAGCCCCACCAGTTGTGGTCAGTATTATTGCAGTTATTTTATTAGTAGTATTGTTATTTTTACTATTTATTTTTATTAGTTTTGTTGTTGCACACACAGGAAGCAGTAAACCTGTGTGGGCTATTTAGTATTGCTTCGCTAATATGGCGCTTTTCATTTACATATTCATGCTTATTTTCAGTGCTTGCCTTGCTCTTAAGATGGTTTTTGGCAGTATTTAAAATGGTTTTATTCTTTACTTTTACCTTCACATCATTTTTTAGGCTTGTAATAAATGATAGTGTAAACATGTGCACTGGCAGGTGGAAAAAAAAAGGCTGGAACCTAACCCACTATATTAGTAAGGTATGCCTGTATGTGTATAAATATTTTGTGTGATCCTAATATACTTTGTGTACTTGCAGAGCTTTAAACCTACTTGCCAAGCTTTAAACCTACTCGCCAAGCTTTAGACCTCGCCAAGTAAGCGCTTGCAAGCATTAATTCAGGGGATGGGGAAACTTGCCTATACATCTCGCCCTGACCAGTAGTCAATCTTTGGTTTCTCTCTGGTTGTGAGCTGAATGCTTCTAGTCAGCCTATATATTCTAACCAATGATATCCGTTGATCTTAAAATGTAATTGTTACTTTGGATTATCCTAGGTAATTTACACATGTTACTATGCTTAACAATATGCAAACTGGCAGAATTATTTACAAACATTGACTCTCAATCCACAGCAGTACTTAAGATTTAGAGTGTGCAGGTTTGAATCCTGCTGTGGACTGAGATAATGTTTGAAAGTATGTTACTATGTAGGATAATTGTAACCCCTTCTATATAGAAAAACTTGTTTGACTTTCTAGGTCACCCTGCCTCAGTGGGATACAGCCAGTTTGTTGAAAGAAAAGAAGTATAATTGTACTGATGTGGACCTGTACCTAAATAAATATACTTTTGTATATTCATAGGTTACGCTTGTGGGTGAGGAGAGTGTGTCAGCAGTATGGATGACCAGCAGCAGCAGCACCTGCCTCGCTCTCTTGTGCTTGCTGGCTGCCCTGGCCAGATGAGACTCATGATACACCATATATCTCAAGATACTTAAATATTTTGGCCTTGTGATAATAATTATGTGATTAATGTTATAATAGATTTGGAAATCTTGTTATTGGTGAGATGATATTCTAAGAACTTTTGAGTTGATCAAATATGAATAAATAAAAAATTATATTTTTTTTTATTTAGGTTTGGTATTGATTGAGGCCCCAGTCATAAGAAAGCCACATATTAAAAAACATATGAAGTGATGTGTTTGGAGACCTAACTATATTAACCTATAATGAAATTAGAAAAACAATGGGATCTAGATATGCTTTCTCACATATACGCTTCTTAAAATGTATACAGTACTGTATTGTAGATGGGATGCAAAGTTGTATACTATAGGTGATATATATTAATGACTGATGTTGGTAAGTAGGATTGTGTGAGAGGTTGTGATGTCTGATGTTTTGGCTAGTGGTTTGTGATGTTTTGTTGGGCTGGATGTGCTGATGTTTGAATATAACTAACCATTGTAACTTCACAAACTTTCTAGCCAGTGATAGAATGTTATTGTTAGTCACGTGTTTGATTCTCTGCAAGTGGTATCTTGGGCTCCAGAAATGGTATGTTGTGCTCCAGAAGTGGCATTTTATGCTCTGGAAGTAGTATCTTATGCTTTCTTGTAGCTGTGAAATTAGCCTCTGTGCAAATATATATACAGTACTACACTTGCAGACACACGTACAGTTTTTTGTCATAAATACAGTAGTACTTCGGTACTCAAACTATTCGTTCCAGAAGGCTGTTTGAGTGCCGATCTGTTAGTACCGAACAAATTTTTCCCGCCCAATTTTCTCTTTGGTTGGCTGTTATCACTAATCTTTTTAAGCCCCATGGTTATTTGTTTATGCAAATAATATAAAAAAAAACACCAAAAAATTCCGAAGAAGCACAAAATAGTTTACAGCGAAGTTCTGGCAGGTCGAGTTTGTTTAGTTGAGTGGACTACCAAGCAATTTCTTTTACTGAACAGAGCGTTCGAATACTACTGAATTGTTTGAGCAGGGAGCTGTTCGAGTACCGAGGTACTACTGTATTGTAGTGGTTGAAACTAGATTGGATCCAAGAAAAACACTTTGGAGGAGTAAGTAGTAACCTTGAACCCAAGAGAGCCAAGCATAATGACTTATTTCCATTTGGATTCTTTAGTCCCTTTCTCAGGATGGCAGCCACAAGTCGGCTAACTCCATATTTACTGTTAGGTAAACGTGGGAAATGGGTGTCGGGAGATTTACACGTATGTATTGCCTTGCCTAGGGATTGTACCCATATTCTTTTGGTAAGAGTCAAATACTGTCGCCGAGTTAAGAGTCGGATTTTAAAAAAAATATTACTAATTTATCACTAAAGATGAGACAACAAATGCATAATATTGTTTCTATAATTACTGTACCTATACACTGTGTCTGGACAGTGGTACACTGGTACATACAGTATACCACTGTAGCTATGTACACCTGTAGGTACCCCATCTTCAATTGACATGCTATTATTACATTTTCTGGTGGCTGTAGCAATTGCTACCTTTGTTGTGTATTTCATTCCAGTATTTGATCACTGAAGGAAAACTAAAGCAAATTTTTTTTTTTTTTATTCTCCAACACTTTTCCTGTTTAACACAGGTTTTTATTCTCTTGGTGCTACATAATCTTTATTTACTCATGCTTCTTTGTTTCCTCCTACCAACCAATTAGAGCAGTTTAAGTGTTTTTCATATTTTCATAATTTTTTTTAGATGCACAACCAGTTTTGTATTTTTTTGCACTGTTCTCTTTTTATAAAACTTTTTAAGGTGAAGTCATTACCCTACTGCTGCATATTCCAATTTTGATGTTATTTATATACTGGGAAGTTTTAAAGCATTTTTCTAAAAATGTATCTGAAGGCTATTCTCAAATTTGCCAATATATTTCCCCCCCCCCCCCCCCAACAAGTTGGTCGTCTCCCACCGAGGCAGGGTGACCCAAAAAAGAAAGAAAATCCCCAAAAAGAAAATACTTTCATCATCATTCAACACTTTCACCACACTCACACATTATCACTGCTTTTGCAGAGGTGCTCAGAATACAACAGTTTAGAAGCATAAACGTATAAAGATACACAACATATCCCTCCAAACTGCCAATATAACATGTCTCTACTTAATTTTATGATCATCCAGTGACAATCTTTTGTCTATAATTACTTTACTCTACGCCATTTTCTTTTTATGATGCTTTCAGTACGTATATTATCAAAGTCGGTCCAATTGCTTAATAGATTGATATAGTAAGTGACTTTGTTTATTGGAAACTAAATTGCATGATAGTTTGCAGGTATTTTCTCTTCAAATATTGTTGCCCTCCTTACTCTTTATTAGCTTTTTGCAGTATTTTTACAACAATGTTTGTCAGTGAGACAAGCCTATACTCTGAAGTGTTTTCTCTTTTTATTTTTTTGTCAGTAAATAGTGTGTAATTTTTCCATTTTTCCAGCAGTTGACCTGACTTTTATGTATATAATTACCACTTAATAACCCCCTTCTTCTCTATAAATTACTAATTGTAAAAAAAAGAAAAGCTTTGGTTTTCTTTTTAGGGTCACCCTGCTTTGGTTGGAGACAGTTGGTGTGCTGAAAAAACATGCCTCTAAAATACTTTTAATTATGATTTTTTGCTCTATGGGTTGTTCCACATCTCTACTGTAATTCTGTGAAGGTTTCCATGTGTACGAGTCATTTTTATATTGTTTCTGTATCCGTTCAGTGTGGTGTCTTTCGGTGTGGTGTCTCGTGCTTAAGTGTTTTATTACTCTGAGTACAGTGTTTATATTGTGATCAATTGCTCTCTCTCTTCCTTTTTAACTTTCTCAGCTCGGATACTATTCTCGCGAGAAACTTTAAATGATCTCAGTTTTCGTTGTTTTATTAGATATGGTTCCACACACTTGAGAATTGGTTGAATGAATGTTTTACTGTATATTGTTGCAAATGGTTATGCTTATTTTTGTGGGAAAGCAATAAACCTGTAGGGCTCGGAAAGTGGTGTTCCAAATGCTTCCTTATTTAGATTCACACACTATGACCCTTTTGGTTTAATGCTTAACTGATTATAATAATAACATTTAGGTTCCTGAATGCCATTTTCACATTTGTGATCATGAGAAATGATAGCAAAGGTACTTGGTTTGTGTGAGCTGGATTAGCTACTAAATTCACTGAATTCACTGGTGTGTTACGAAAAAAATGCTAGGTTAAACAAATGACATTTTTTGGTAACGTTAAAGTATAAATTTCAATGAATGTTTGTGTTTAGTTCAGTGGAATTCTTGAGCAGATGATTAGTAATTTTGCTTTAACCCTTTGACTGTTGCAACCCCCAATCCTGAGGTGTCTCCTGGTGTCGCAAAATTTAAAAAAAAAAAAATACTTTTTCTTATGAAATGATAGAGAATCTTTTCCAGATTTAAAAGACACCAAAAACAAAAAAATTTTGAGGAAACGATGAATTAGCTCTCGCAAAATTTAGCGCCCCTTGGCGCTTTTTAAAAATTTTCGGCGATTTCCCCCACTTTGAGCCCTTTTTCGGTAATTCCATTTTTCCCAGTCCCCCAAAACTCTATATTTCTTTAGAACTCCATTTTTTTTTTCGTTGAGTACAAGAAACTTTTCCCTTTACCCATTTCAACTACCTAATAATGTGGGCAGAAAATTTTCAAATTTTTCCCAATTTCCGAAAAAAAAAATGACAATTTCAAAAAGTCCAGAATGAACAAACGGATATTCCCGGCTCTAAAAAACTTTTCTTTTTCATCGTCTGTCTCCAGGCCCTTGAAATTTTCTCTTGCTTTTATTTTGTTTTTATTAAAAAAAAAATAGACTTACTTTATGCAACTCTGCAAACGTAATAATTTTATAAATAACTCAAAACCCTCAGATGCATATTTAAAAGGCAGTTGGACATTTATTGGACAAAGGCATATTTTTTTTTACTTTTGAGCATTTACAAAAAAAACATTTCCCCCACTTTGAGCTCCTTTTAGGTTCTTTTATAGTAAAAAAACAATCAAAACACCCTTTTTCTGTAATTTTTTTCCATTCTATCAAATAGACCAAAAACGAGAAAACAACCCTAAATACTTACAAATTAGCCCCAAAAAAAGTCGGCTTTTTAATTAAAAAAACGGTCGGAGTTTTTTTTCTCATTATGCACTGCGTGCTCCAAGATTTTTTTTATATGGTGCACACTGACCACACAGACCCTTCTTCAATGGGGGCCCCTACCACTTTCCCCTGCTTTTTTGAAGCCGCTGAATTTGAGTTATATACGTCAATCAGGGTCCCGTAAGACGTATTTTATGGGCCACGACAGTCAAAGGGTTAAAATTGACTTACTAGAAAGAGTTTACAAAAATTCCTTTTCAGTTGATAGAAGGGTAGATCATTGCAATTTTCTTTGCCCTTGAAAATTTTTTTTTAAAAAGTTTTATTTATTTCAAAGCAGGAAGTTGGTTTATACAGTCATTGTCTGAACCATTAATTAAAAACTAAAAATTCACAAAAGCTTTTCCCAACCCATTAATCTCTCAAAAGTCTAAATTTCTATTACGTAAAAGACCTGGGATGATTATGTGGAGGATTACCTTCAAGGACCAAAAACTTTTGTATCAACGCATTTTGGGAAAAAAATGACGGGAGGGAAAATGAAAACCCTCCAAAATAGGGGGCCAAGCCCATGATACACTCTTCAGGCATTTTTATTAGGGGAAATTGCTGCACTCTAACGCCCTTTCAAGGGAGGTGAAATTTCCGACCCAGAAAATGTACAGAGAACTTTCACGGTCGCAAACGGAATAAAAACCTCAATTACTGGGGGCGTTTGGGGTTCTAACCCCGATTTTGGGAAAGCGGCAGGAGAGATACATAATATCACTGGAAAATCTAGAGGGGCTGTACCGAAATTGCACACAAAAACACTCCTCGAAAACAAAAAATTTGGGAACGATGCACCATCCCCCCCAATGAAAAGCAGGGGTGTCACTAACGTTAAAAGGGCCATACAATAAGTGTCAGGGCCGAGACTGTTCAACTGCCTCCCAGCCAATAAGGGGGGTTACAACAGACCCCTGGGAGTCTTCAAGCTGGCACTGGACAAGCCCTAAAGTCATTCCTGATCAGCCGGCGTGGGTTAGTTGGGTTTTCGTGCAGCCGCGCAAAAGCCTGGTTTAACGGCCTGATCCACCGGGGTGGTAAAACCGGGCCGCGGGGGCGTTTACCCCCGAAACTCTCTCCCGGGAAAATCCAGGTAATAAACAACTCCTTAAAGTTGTGGTTTCCCTTTTTTAAAAAAAAATTTTGTATATTTCATTAAAAGCAAGCTCAGAAAAAACTTTTAAACCAATAATGGGGGTAAAAATAAGAAAATCCTAAAGAAACCAGATTTGCAAATCGATAGTAAACGGGTAAAATGGGACGTAGTTTGTATTTCTAAAGTGTTGGTGGCAGCAGTCGGTAAGGGGGTAGTAGTGAGGAAGGGACAGACAACAGGGAGTACACCGTTTCAGCTACCCACATCTAGCAAAGCTAATTCTTTTTAGTGATGGGGAAATTCCATCGGTGTATTTGATTGATTTTGATCCAAATACTACTTAACCCGTAAACGGTCCAAACGTATTTATAAGCGTTTTTTAACATTTGAAAGTATGTAAAAAAAGTAATCTTTTTGTTTTTTTACATTTGAAAATGTGTAAAAAAACTGATCTACTTTTTTTTTTTTATTGAAAATATGTAAAAAAAAAAACGTAGATCTACTTTTGTAGCACTACACATGTGAACGTAGATCTGCTTGGACCGTTTACTGGTTAATGGACTTTGAATTTTTCTTATTAAATTCTATCCGAGTGTTAACCTTACATCTGGCGTGGTACATCATTTTAACCAACAAACAGGTGGATGATGACACGGCAGATCAAATGTTGTGTATCCCAAGGACATATTTTCAAGCACCAAACATTCCTGTATAACAAGTTTCAAGACTGATCTCCTTTTACACCAGGTTTAAATTCATATTCAATACTAAAAATAGAGCTTTAAGGAGCAGAGGATGGTTGGAGGGATGAACAGTTGCAAACATTGCCGATACCCTCACATGTTTTGTTTATTACAAAATACAAGTTGATAAACTGATGCACAATGTATATTAAGTAATGTATGCACATTGCAACCAGGTTACTTTAATTTTTTAACCTTTTATTATGCAAGGGAAGAGAAGCAGAAGATTATTTAAACGCTGATGTTAGTTACTTTCATGGGCAGGTGCAGTTCCTGTGAACCCAGAATATGCAAGTTGTTAAATTGATGTTAGCAATCAGTGTGGGTGTCGTCAGTTCCAACTTTTCTCAGTAGCTCGTATTTTTTTTAGTCCTGGATATTTTGTAGCATATTTTTAGAATTTTTCTATTTTACCTACTTTTTTTTTTTTGACGTGAAAATATCCTAAGCTTGCTTTGTCATTTGGTGTAAACAGATTTTTGTTGTGCTTGTGTATACATTGGCATATAAGTACAGTGTTTCTGGCTATGAAGATTAATAAGTTCTTTATGCACTACTAATGTAAACTGAAGCAGATGTTGCTTAAACTAATAAAAAGTAGATTGTAGTTTTTGTTTTATTTACTGTTAATGCAAAAGTTGAGTTTTGGTAGCATCTATTAGTAGCCATTTTGTACTTTGTAATTACTCTTCGAGTATATATATTTTAATTCCTTGCAGAGCTCAGCATTAAATACAAAGATTTCAATTGCAGTCTTGTTCTCCACAAGCAACTCTTGCCTAACATATGGCATCCTAGGACTGATTATTTGTGACAGTGGACGTACCTAGTCCTCTGCTAATTTTTAATATTCCATTGGCACATTTGAAAGTATTCCAAGAAGAAGCTGGTAAGTAGAGAACCAGACATATGCACTTGAGGGACTGTTTACTGCAGGTTGTGCCAGTTAAATGCAGGCATGTTAGCAGACATTACAGCAAGAAGAATCGTGTGATGCTGGGACTCGGTAGATGACAGCAGCCACACAGGCAGTTTGAGACAATGCTGTTGTGGCCAAATTAATATTTAGGTGAAGATTGATTTATCAGTAGTTGGTGGCCCTAAAGCAGAGTGGGCCAGGTGGCTTGACCAGCAATTGCAAAAGTGAACCTTCAAGTTAAAAGTGTGAGTAAGAACATATTTCAGTTGACCCAGCAGGTAAGAATGGCTGTTGGAGATGTTACTCTAATTGTGACCCCACCCCCCCAAAAAAAAAAAAATAATAAAAAAATGCGTCTAAAGAACAGAGTTTTAAACCCTGTAGAAGGTGGCGTTGGTTTGTTAGAGAAGTGCTTGATCGCAGGAAGTAGAAAGGAGATGTACAGTACTGTAATTACTATCTATATTATTTCAGTACCGTATTTGTGTGTTGGGACATGTTTCTCCATCAGTTTTTTGCCCATTTTTGTTTAGTTTGTGTATCATGAAATTGAGGATTGTTAATTATACTACAGTATTATGCTGATATTCAGATACTTTTATTATATAACCTTGATTCATATAAACTTAAGGAGACTAGGGAAAAAATAACGATGAGCTTTTGTATTCTTAGGTTTGACCCTTAAACTGATGCACAGTGGGTCATATTGCCAGTTCTGCATAGGGCTGTTTGTTTTATGATATTGTAAAATGTGTAAAAGAGTATAAAATAAAACCAGTTAAAATCTGAATCACATTACATTCTGACGAAGTAAATTGTTTTATAATATTGGACGAGGAAGTGTAATTCACAAGGAATTGTGCTCCAAGTTAGCCAAAACAATTGATAAAATCTAAAAAAATTGCCTTATCTTAGCAAACATTATACTTCTGGCCAGATATGTAGTGAAGAATTTAGAGAAGAAAACAAAGATAATGGGATTTGGATTATTCAGAATTAAGGGGAAAAACATCCATACGGTAGTCCTCTTTAAAAACGTTTATTTTTTAATTATTATTTGGAACTTAATACTTTAATTCAAATCTGATTATTCTATATATCATACAATTTTAAATTGCACTACTTGAAACAATATTTATTGTATACAACATAATGAATTAAAATATTGTATTATTACTTTTGCTACAGCCATAATATGTCATTAGAATGGCAAGTCATATGAACAAGAGGGCCATATAAAACTACCTTGTTTCTTATAGTGTGTAATAATGTGTGTGACGAACCAAAGATAAGAGTGACTTGAATATGTGCACTAACCCTTGGCCTAGTCCTGTGAAGTCAGTTAGACAAAACCACGTAAAGTGATCTGACTTATATGAAGACCAAAAAAATCTTAGAAAATCTGTTCTACAGCATCACTGTTGCTGTTGTCTGGAATACTATTATACTGTATGATAAATAGCACTAATAGTTGCTTCCCATTGATTATTTTCTTGCCATGAGGTCCACTTGGTTATTAAAGA